TAAGTACAAGTAAAATGCACAAGTTCTGAGGATAAGGCAGCTTCCACCCTGATTGCAGAGGACCTGGGAGGCCAGGAAATACACTCCTGAGAGGGCCCCTGAAGGTTGAAGCCAAAGGTGCAGTGTAAATCCCAGAAGTTTGGAAAAGCCAGGAACATGGATCATCCAGAGAAAGCTGCAAAGACCAAGCAGAATGGCCTTAAGAGAGAAGCTGTGGTAGTTGAAAATGCTATGGGGGTAGAATCACCCAAGCCTTTAGGAGCTTGTAGCCCAGTGGCTTCTGATGCTAAGCATGTAATGCCAGGACTTAATGTTTGCCCTGCTGGATTTTGGACTTGTTTTGGTTCCAATCCTTGGTATTCCCTATTTGTAACTTTTGGAGTGGTAATGTTTATCTTGTGCCTCTGCATTTTGGAAATGTTTAACTTGTTTCTTTTGTAAGGAGGGTTACAGTTAAGAGTTTGCCATTAGATCTCAGACAACACTTCAGACTTGGATTTTTCAGCAGTACTAAAACTGCTAAGACTTTGGTAACTCTTGGGGATAGACTAAATGTCTTTTGTATAAGGGATGTGCATGAGTCTTTGAGGGGGCCAGAATGGTATGGTTTGTGTTCCTGTGGCCCCGCTCCAAGCCTCATGCAATCATAGACATGACTAAATCTAACATTTGTGATTGGTCCATTGTTTAGCACTCGGATTAGTGGTATGAGTGCTATACCTGCCTGGGATGGAGCTAGCATATGATGTAATGACAGGAAAAAGGTGTGTGTCTCATCAGTTCACGCCTTGTTATTTGCAGTGGCCGTGAACAGCTGCCCTGCCATGCCATCCTGCCTTGGAGCCAACTGAGTATGGACTGAAACCTCTAAACTATAAGAAATAAACCTTCCCTTCCTTAACTTTGGGTGTCAGATATTTTTTTCAACAAGAGAGAAGAGTAACTAAGACAGATGGCTTTTATCAAATTGAGATAAAGACCTTCTTTTCATGTTTTCCTTAGGGTTTTTTCATGAGTGGGTATCGGATTTTGTCAAATGCTTTTTCTGTGTCTTTCAAGATGGTCATGTGATTCTTGTCCTCATTTTGTTTATGTGGTGTATTACACTTATTGAATTGTGTATTTTGAACCATCCTGGAATAAATTCCATTTGTTTATGATGTATGATCTTTTTGTTGATTTAATGTATTCTATTTGCTACTATCTTATTGAGGATTTTTGCATCTATGTTCATCAAAGATTGGCGTATAGTTCACTTTTGTGATGAGTCCTTTTCTGATTTTGGAATCGGTAATACTGACTTCCAGGAATCACTTTCAGAGTACTGCTTCCCTTTCAATTTCATTAAAGAGTTTGATGAGTATTGGTGTTACACCTTCTCCAAAGTTCTTGTAAAATTCAGCAGTGAATCTGTCAGTATGTGGGACCTTCTTAGTTGATTGTTTACTTTTATTACTTCTTCATATTCACCGGTTGTACTGGCTTATTTGGGACTTTCATGTCTTCTTCGGTCAGCTTTGAGTGTTCATATGTTTTTAGGAATTATGCATCTCTTCTGAAATTTTCATTTTATTAGACCGCGGGTTCTCAAAGTAGCTAACAATCTGAATTTCAACAGAATCCATTGTGATTTCACCTTTTTCATTTCTAACTGCATGGTTTTGTTTCTTTGCTTGTTTTGGTAAGATTGCCTAAGGGTTTCTCTATTTTACTTAATCTTTTAAAGAACAAACTCTTCAATTTGTTAATTCTTTGTACTGTACTGGTTGTTTAAGCCTGAATTTCATTAATTTCTGCTCATATTTTTACAATTTCCTCTCTATTTTGAGCTTTGGGGTTTGCATTGTTATTGTTTTTCGGGGACCTTGAAATATATCATGAGGTCATTTACTTGAGCTGACTGCATTTTTCTGATGTGGGAATTCACAACCATGACTGCTTTCATTATGTCCCAGAGTTCCGTTATGTTGTATTGGCATTATTGTTTGATTGTGGAAACTGTCTGATTTCTTCTTTAACTTTATCTGTGACCCATTGCTTATTAAAGAGGGTATTAATTCATTTCCATGTGTTTGAATATTTGTCTACATATTTTTGCTGTTGATTTCTATTTTCATTGCACTGTGATATAACAAGGCAGGAGCCAGGAAGAAAATGCCATTCCACCTTCCTTTTTTCACACTCTATAGCTTCTGGGTTTTCTGTCATATCTCTCCCAAGTTCCAAGCATCCACCTTCCAGTGTTTGAGTTCGGAATCTTGGAGAAGTTGAATTGTTCAGAATAAATAAATTATAAAGGGTAAAAAGCAAAAAAAATGTGAAAGAAAAGTTCTAAGCATAGAGTAGCATGTGCAAAGGTACCGACAAATGAGAATAGAACATGGGGTTGGGATTGTAGTTGCTCAGACATGGATAAAACAGAGTGGGAGGAAATCATAGGTGGGAGCTGGGGCTTACTATTGAGGATTTTGGTGGGCAGGTTGAAGAGCCATTGAGAGGAATTTAAAGACTGAAGCTGTCATGTTATTGTATAAATAAACCACATTCCAGAAATTACACTGACAGCATTATAAAGAGTAGATCAGAGGGCGGGAAGACAAAAGCAAAGTTATGGTGCAATTATAGTCATCCATGCGAAATGTGATATGGGTCAGAACCAGGGTAGTAGAACTGGGTGGGCAAATGAGAGTTGCCCACAGAGTCAGAGACTCAAAGAAGCCATTAAGTCACATGGGCCTAGGTAGGGGGTGGTGTAGAAGTATCATCCGTATCACAACTGCCAGTACTCTTAAAAATAATCACCCTGCTGGATTCTCTGTGTGACTGTAGAACTCTGAAAGTTTAAGTCTTTGGGGAACATTAAAAATTATTTGTATCATTTTCATAAAGTTCACTATTGCTCTAAGTGTCTTTAATTTTAAAATATAAGAATTCTATGATCCCTAAGTTAGTTTGTCTCAACCCCTGCATCCTAAATTATCCGTACTTGTTAGTCCTTTTGGTCACATTCCATTCAATCAGTAGGTTGTATTTAATGACCCCTGCCTCCGTTTGTTGTCTCTCTGTGCTGATCCATACTAATTATGTTGGCAACATAGCTCTTTGATAACCAATGTTATCATTATTAATGAATATTTCACTAAAGCCTAGTTGACTCTTCATGCAACCAGTATTTATAACTAAAAAATGGTTATAACTTTCCCTTTTATTAATGTTAAGTGACTATATATATTATATAATATGTATGTACAGTATGGTATATTAAAGAGGATAGTGTCATAGGCCATTGGGGCTATGTTAACAAATACCTTAGGCTGGATAATTTATAAGCGACATAAATTTATTTTTAACAGTTTCAGAGCTGGGAAGTCCAAGAACGAGGAACCAGCAGACATTTCTCATAAATGGTGCCTCCACTTTGTCCTTGCATGGCAAGAGGGGTGAATGAACCTTCTTAGGTCTCTTTTATAAAAGCACTAATCCCACTCATGAGGGCAGAACCCTGTGACCTGATTATTTCCTAAAGGTCCTACTTCTTAATATATCACATTGGGAATTAGATTTCAGTATGTGAATTTCAGAGAAATAAACATGCCATAGTGGATGGGAGTGAAGATAGGGAAAGTGGTTGCAATAAAACAATAAAAGATGAATTGAAATATAATGAAATTATACCCATACGAATAATTTTTTAAGGTTTTTTTTTTAAGTATTAGTAATAAGGCAAATAAAGGGAAAAAAAGAATGCTAACACTGATCATGATAGGATGATAGAGTCAAGGATGAATTTTTGGAGCTTTTCTGTTTTCCAGACTTTTATAATATAGTTCTAATGATCCCATAAATATAACTATTTGAAACGGGCAGTTAAATTTTATATCATTGATATTAGTTAAGAGCAATAGTGTAAAATGTTTTGAAGCATTGTGTAATTTGAAGTCTTAGAATGTTTTTACAAAGATGCATGTAGGATTTCATTTTATCTAATCTTTACCTCTCAACTATAATAACTGAAGCCCTTTAAGAATTTTTTCCAAATAAAACAAAAGATTGCTTCCACTTTTTTCCACTTGTAAAATACTGTAATTCTTGGGTACTGTTCCTTCCAGATCATCTTTAGATTTTAATTAGTTCTTTGTATTTTTTAGTAATCAATTTTTTTTTTTGGTACCGGGGATCGAACTCATGACCTCAAGCTTGTCAAATAGGCACTTGTGCCACTGAGCTAAATCCCAGCCCTAGTTCTTTGTATTTTTTAAAATCATAGTAATAAAGTGCTAACTCAAGCAGGATAATTGGAAGCTTTCTGCCCAATCATGTTGAATTGTGCATTCCACATTTTCAAGTCTGGAGCACTCGGAGTCACTCTTGTTTCCCTTGTGTATGGTAAGCCTTCCGCACTTACGTTCCTGCTCTCTTCACAGCAGAACAACACTTCTTACAGTTTGTATCTTGCAAGCCTTAAGTGTGTTTTATGAGAGAGAATACAGACAACACTTAACTTTTGTTCTAATCAACACGATGACTTATTTCGTGATTGCCCATTTCTTATTTAGCTTCTTCTGGAGGATCTTCTCATTTTAAGTATGTTACCTATCTTTTCCTCTTTTTGCTTTTAGTTGTTGTTGGTAACTTTTATGTTAAGAAAACTCTTCAAAGTTTATTTTAATGGAACTGTAACTCTCCTGGCCACAGTAGGTATAGGTTTTGTAAACAACAACAACAAAAAATTTCGGTCCTCAGAACTTTTCATCTAATACTTAATTTTAAATACAGAAATAAACTTAAAGGATAGAATACGGATTTTTCTCTTTTTAAAGAAAGTAAAAATTTTTATTTAGCATAATTTCTTCTAAATATTTATGGTAGAACAACAAATGGCTGCTTTTTCTGCATTTGACCGGTGATTATAGTAAATGATCAGATCAATTAGCCTGCAGACAGTAGAGTATAGCACCAAGTAACTTCACACCATCTCTCATTTCCATTTGCTTCTTCAGTGTGTGGACCTGAGCTGTAATGAGCTAAGTGAAGTCACTTTGCCAGAAAACCTGCCACCCAAACTACAAGAACTCGACCTGACTGGAAATCCCCGCCTTGCCCTGGACCACAAAACTCTGGAACTGCTGAAGTAAGCATTTGTTTAAGCCTGTTAGCACCATCATTATTCCTGGCAGTGGGATTTATGGCTTAATGGAAATGTGAACCATAAAAAAGTATCATTTGACTCACCACATTAGCTATATTTGTGCACCTAAATAAGACTCAGAATACGTGGAAGATCATGGAACAACCAAGGTATAAATTTGGTTTACATAAATCTGAGTAGTTACCAGTGGAGCGACGCTTAATGCAAATGTTAAGGAGGAAAGATTTTGAAAGAGATGGATGATGTGAGGACAGTTAACAAGAATGGAAATTTGGTATAGTTAGGCCCTGTTAAAGTTCTCTTTATGTTTTAGAAAGAGTTTGTTCATTCTTGATAGTGTTGATAAAGAATAAATTTTCCATTTTTTATTGTATAGTACGGTAGCAGCCTTAAACACTGACCCACATTAGTCATTGTTTATCTGCCATATTAGCTTATGTACTATTGGGGTATATGCTACTAAAAGTCATCTCTCTTTATCTTAGAAAAAAACTAAAAAGTAGACTTTGGTGAATGGTCCATTAATACTATCTTCGGTTTAGTGCATTCAAAATTTGAAGGCCACTTAAAGTAATTACTGATTAGAACTTGCCTAATTAATACCTGTTTGTTGACATTTCAAGTAGAAAAACTGATTTGTGTGCAGAAGAGCACTACCCAGGCACACTGGTCCCGCGCAAGACGGGGGACCTGGGTTCTCTCTGTTGTTCGTCAAGTATGTGAGACCTTAGCCTCAGTCCCTCAGTCTGAAGGATGAAATAGCCTGTGTAGTGTCTTAAATCTAAGAGTGCATGAATTATCAAAGTATATTTCCATCTTCTCGAGTACTTTTTAAAAATAAACATTCATGTTAAAAGGCAATTTTATCAAGATTTGTTAATAAAACTATTTAGAGAAAAGTAGTCTTACCTCACAGCAAAATAAATTCTGGCTAATTTGAGTTAAATCTATGAAATGAAATCATTTTTAGAAGAAGAAATCAGATGAATAAATTCACAAGCTGGCAAAGGGCTTTGTAGGTGAAAAACTGGGAAGAGAGAGTCTCAAGAAAATAAATCAGGGGGCTGGGGATTTAGCTCAGTGGCATAAGCGATTGCCTTGCAAGCGCATGGTCATGAGTTTGATCCATGATACCAGTAAAAAAAAAGAAAGAAAGAAAGAAAGAAAATAAATCAGTACGTATAGATTGGTTTTCATATTAATGATGTATATATTCATATGTTAAATTCTACATGTGGACATTTAGCTGTCTATTCCAAAAAATTACCAAGAATAAATCTAAAAGATGAATGACAAACTAGAAAAAAATCACTGTCCAAAAACAAAAAATTAAGAATATTAATATTCTCACTAGGCTTATTAGTATGTCAATAAAATAATAAAATGTTATTCAGATTAACATTTTCACTCTCATAGTGGTACAGCTAGAGGAGTGTAAGTAGTTGTAGCATTTTTAAAAAGCAACTGGCCAGCAGCCAGAAATGGTGGTACACGCCTGTAATCACAGCACTCAGGAGACTGAAGCAGGAGAGTTGCTGCAAGTTCCAGGCAGCTCGGGCTACAAAGCGAGACCATGTATCCAAAACACAAACAAAAAAACGATGTGCTATGTGAAGCTGATAAAAATATTCAGACTACTTTAGACCAAGTTTCTGTAGAGCAATAATTTGTTTTAAAAATAATAAAAAATACAGTGTTCATTTTAAGCATCACAGTCACCAAAATATTTCTTACATATTTAGAATGAACCTGAAACAAATTGAGAAACTATTTGTGGCATAATTGAGAAAAATGCAAAACCATGTGTGCATGCATACACATGCAAAGGGAGAGAACCCCCACCAAAAAGAAACATCTGTTTGTTAAAGTTTTAAGAACGAAAATGTGTTACTGGAGTGGCTAAACTGTGCTAAAGCCATTGTGCTCTCATATTTTAAGCAAAAATTAGTACCAGTGAATCACAGTAACTGAAATGTTAACTTCTGTTTATCATCCAGAAGGGAATAGGTTTCTGGTAACTCAGGATTGCTGCTTAGCCTTCTAGTTGTACATGAGCTTTCAGGGAGCACTGCTGTGGGACCAAGTCCGCTCCCAAGCTGAAACTTCCTTGAAGATATCCAAGAGCCAAGTGCAGATCCCTTCTGATGGCTGCTCAGGCCAGCCATGTTAATGTTAAGCAAGGCCTGAAGGAAAACACTGGTCCTTCACTACAAAGGATTGCTGAGTCCAGCAGGGAACTTACGGGTTTCTTTTTTCATTAATGATCTGGCCACAAAATGGATTTATTTCTTTGAAGACTCTGTTATGTGGAAATGATCACTGTTGTAGTCAGGGGTTGTACACAGAGAACAACTAGGATTAGGACATGGAGTTTATAATATTTTTATAATTGTCACTGGAAGTTAACACAGGAAAATGCAGGAAATCTATCTGTAACACCAAAGACATAGATTATTTAGTCAAGAGCCTAAACCCCATGGCAATGTCCCTCATGAGTCCAGATAAAAACCCAGAGCTCAGGACAATGCTTCCACGAGTCCAACTGGAAGTCCAGAGCCCACAAGAAGGACTCACACCAGTCTCTTTTACGGATCCGTGCCAGGAAGACCCAAGGGTCAACGGTGGAAACCAGAAAGTCTACGCCAGCAGGATGAAGGATCTGTGCTAGTGGGATGAAGGTTCTACGCTGAAGCTGAGAAGTCACACTCACAACAAAGAGCAGGGCTATCCTGAAAGGCACCACAGCTGTCCTCAGCGACACGGAGGCCCCTAGATCCTCCGACGACAAGCACAGTCGGGTACGTGCCAGGAAGCAGCGTGATGAGTTCATCCTGGAGACCAAGCAGCACATGTCTTCCCCTCCAGAGCCAGGAAGCAATGCTCGATGTGAGGACCAAAAGCTTCTCCAGGAGAACCAACAGCTCAGACAGCAACTCATAGGAGAATCCACAATGCCTCCTTAACGCCTCAACCCTCAACACCTCTCTTCTCCACCTATTTAGTCTGGCAACCCTCCTCAGGTGGAGCATCTTCTCTCAATGTATGCTGATGTATCCAGCTGGTGCTAAGTTGACCACCAGTTCTCAAACCATAACAATCACTTTTGGAAATGAGCCTTCATGTTTCTTCAGAATTGGGAAGGTAGTAAAGATAGAGTGAGAACTTTCAGGTGCCTCAAGAAATTCTGGTGTTGCTCACCATTCTAGAAGGATAAAATTTAGTGCCAGTTTACTCAGAGAGCAAACAATGGAAGACTATCTTTTTAATGCCTCTCTTTTATTGATAAGATTGAAAACTTTCAAAAGAGTCTTTAGAGCCCTACTGTAAAATGACCTATTAATTTGATTTGGGGGTTTTCTATTGATCATCTATGATTTAGCAATATATGTTTTTAACTTTTTAGATTGGAGGGTAAATATTTGCTAGTAATTGAGTATATAAACTTTTTCTTCCTCCAAATATTTTTAAATTTCATAGAAATTGCCAGCAGTTACTTCTACAAAGTGAATACTAGTTAAATATCAGTTTTTCATCTCAGCATTTAAATTGATTCTTAGGAAAAGTATGCCATATTTGTTAAATTTAGAAGTTATGCCAACAGATAATTTAAATTCTTAGAATCATGACATAGTAGGTGTTTAAGTTGTCAAGTGGTGTTGCATAGTTTTTCCCTCCTGTTTAAATAATATACCAGATGTGTGGGGGGGGGCACTGGTAATTTACAGGTCGGCAGGATTTATTTTACCATGTGGTATTCATTCATTCTACAGATGTACTTCACGTCTGTTCTGACTTCCTGTTGGGGACACTGAATGCTTGCTTTCTAGTACACTTATTTTTAAGAAATCCTGCTAGAGTTCCCTATTTCTGTTTAGGAACCCAGTGGACCCATTTGAGAGCTGAGGAAATAAGAACTAAATCTCTCAGTTAAATACATGTAGTTGTAATTTATTAAAATGCTCCCATGAACTTTGTAGTTTTACATGCACATTGTATTTCATGTTAGTATTCTTTGCTCATAGAAGGAAAGAATTGGAAGATCCAAGGAATGTCCTCAATAAGATATAGCTAGAAACTAGAAACTAGATATAGCTAGAAACAGTATAATACGTTGTTCTCAAGTCTGAGTGTGTCCATGATATAAGAATACACCCAATGTAATAATTTATATTTTGTTTTCTGTCCTTTTCGTTCCCAAGAGAAAGTAGCTTTCTAGAGTGTGTCAGTCTGTATCAGCTGTTTTATTAGTGGTCGTGAGAAGTATTTTCATGCTATGAATATGCATTTGGGTTTTTGTCATGATGAATAACTGATTTTTTGGCTAATATTTCAGACACAGTAAATGCAATAAGAAATGGTAGATAAAGTACACTTAGTAGATATTTTCATTTATCAGATGAAAGTAGCAATTCACATATATTTGGTTTTAATGATTCCTCTTTCTTATTTTCTTGTTAGTAATATCCGCTGCTTTAAGATTGATCAGCCTTCAGCAGGAGATGCATCTGGAGCCCCAGCTGTATGGAGTCATGGTTACACTGAGGCTTCAGGGGTGAAAAACAAGTAAGTTTATGAAACTTTGCACAAAAACTGCCTCCCTTTAATAGGGTATAAAATGTTATAGTCCACATTTTTCTCATGTAAACTTTCTTTTGAGTATGTTTCCCCAGAGTGGCTCCCTCATGACTCACGTTTGAACACTAACCTAGGACCCCACATGGCATCACATACTCTCCTTTTGTGAGAGGTGTTGTTAGGATACAGTGTAACTGACACATTATATCTGTGGAACACTCTAGTGTTTGGAAAAGGTCATAAGTATCAACATGCATTCTTGCTGCTTTGAAAAACCCCTTTGTCTTTCTCTGAAGCTGTCTGCTAAGCAAAATAGGGATAGTATTAAGGAAGAAGCAGCTTTCATGGTCCATGTTGAATATCTCTTACATTGCTAACTGTGGAATTATTTTTACAATCTTAAGTTAGGTTGGGAAGAGTTTGATGTTTATTCCTTGTAATATCCTCTACTTATCTTGCCACCAAGAGTGTTACAGCTTAATTTCTTTTTCTTCTCTATTTTTACTAGCCTTAAATCTTAGGTGCAAATGTTGATTTTCCTGAGAAATATAATCAAGCTTCTTAGGCTTACTTATATTATATGAAAGGTCCTAATATTTAGTACTAAAAAAATAAAGAATATTGTGAATTAATGTAGTTTATAATTTTATTACCTGAGGTAAAAGAACACAAAGTTTTGCCAGAAATTTAGCTCAGCAGTGTAAGCACCTCCCTGGCAAGTACAAGGTCATGAGTTCGATCCCCATACCAAGAAAGAAAAAAAAAAAAAAAAGAACACAAAGTATTGAGAGTAGGGGAAGAACAGAAGAAGATCTAATAATAGGTCACATTAGTCCATGTTAGAATCAGTTAGGTTACATTCAAATAAAAAGTTATGTAGAGCCATCAAATCATAACGTTCTAAAATCTTCACAGGTGATTCTAAAGTATGTCCAGCATTGAGAACCATTTTACCTAGTTAAATAACCTTCATGTTAAGTAACAGGTGAGACTGGAATGATCACTGCCATGCCTATTGCTTTTCTTTGGGATACAAAACAGCATCAGCTCCAGTTCTGAGTCTAACACACTGATCCCTTCCTCTTTGATTTGGCGTTGTGTTATTTGGAGGAGAGCAGACCCATCTCAACACTCTGTTTCATTTGTTCTACAAAAGCAGGATAAGCAGTATGCTTGCCTTAGTTCTGTCTGCCAGGACTCTAGCTGTTACCTTATTTCTGCATACTTTGCAGTGTATGTCATTTGCTAAGGGCATGAGTGTATTCTTCAATGCACTCAAATTTCCTTTCTGAAGTAATCACTGGACCTGTGACATATAAATGCCGGTATGTGAAGCTGCTGATTTCAGAGCACTAATGTGAAAGCTAAGATTGTTTTTAAAATGTCTAGGTATTAAAATTTGTTATCCATTCATCTATATGAGTAAGCAAATAACTAACTAGAGTTGATTTTTCTGCATGATTCCATCTTCCATGTTTCACTTTGACTTTTGTTATAGAAGAGTATAACATAGGTTCAATAAAGTGCAGAAGTGATCCCACTGTGTTTTGTCCCAAAATGTGCACACACGCAGATCACCATTTGGATCAAGAAATAAGAGGTGAACAGCACTTCAGAAGCCCCAGCCAGCCGTGGTTCTTACTTTATTCCCCTGGCCATTTTCAGTATATTCGGTGGGAATTTTGTTGTTGTTTACATTGTAGATAAAGTAGGTATGTCCTCAAGCAGCTTGCTGCATCCCACCTTAAAGGAAGGGAAGAGCAGCCTCCAAACCTCGAGAGATGTCTGTTCTGTTCTCTCTCCTCACCCTGTTTCTCCCTGGGGTGCAGTGTTGGCTTCCTGTCAGGGTATTGCAAATCCTTTGGGGGAAACAAACAGGGAGCTGTAGTTGAATAGTTTAGGCTCTGCCTCAGATCAAAAAACACACAGGAAGTTTCAGCAGAAAAGCAATCATAAGAGTGACTACACTATATACAAAAGACATAGTTTTCTTTCTTTTCTAAAAGAAATTCATTTCACACAGCCCTATTCTGATTAGCAAAGAGAGTTTACAGAAGAAAGAATTTTAAAATGATTATAAAACTTTAACTTTACCGCAAATTGCCATATACTTGGGATGAATTGTTTTTCTTAATAAATGAAAAAAAGAATCCCAGGGCACTGACCTGGAAACAAGACTGCTTGGCTTAGAATCTGGGCTTTATACTTACTTGCTGTTTCTCTTCAGCTTATTTCTTCATAAAATGAAGAATCCTATTGGTTTCTTGTAGTGTGTGTTAAAGTGTGCAACATACACAGAACAGTGTGTGCTATACAGTAAATTCCACCTTAAGTTTTAGCTACTGTCATTATTAGTGGTAATGGTTACTATTATTTATCTCTCAATTCCCTAAAGGCAAGTTTATATGTCTGGTATCTAGCCATGATACATAACAGGTACTACAATAGATTTCTTTGTACCAATTTATATATAATACAAAAGAATCATCTACTTTCAGTAAAATTCCCCATTTTAATATTCAGTTCTGCAAGATGTTTTTGTTGCTGTTGTTGAGATATTGGATGTTGAACTTGGGACCTTCCCACTGAGCTACATCCTCCATCCTTTCTTTATTTTTTATTTTATTTGGAAACAAGGTCATGCTAAGTTACCCATGCTGGCTCAGACTTGTTGAGTCTTATGCCTCAGCCTCTTGAGTATATGCCGCCAGGCCCAGAGTTTTCACTGTAACATTTTCAGACTATTTTTACTGGTCCAGGACTCTAGGCTGTCAGAATTCTATCACATTTGTTTAGGTTTAGTACTTGAAAGTGTTGCTCTAGACATACAGCTTTTGCAATCTCCAACTGCACTGTGTCGCTGGGCCCAGGATAAAATAAATCAGCACTGTTTTTTAAAATATGTTTTTGCCTCATTTTTTAATTCGAGTTTGGGGGCTCATTTGTGGATTACAAGATTTGCGGACTTGCTCAGGATTAATGGAGGACCCCCCCAAATTATTTTTTCACCGATCGATCGGCTAAACATGTCCCAGTGGCCGAGAGTCTGTTACTCAGGTTGCTAATGGGAGAGTGTTACGACAAAACTGTGCTCCCCTGCCTCAAAGCAATAAGATATCCTAACAACTCAACTTTAAGGAGAAGTTCTATGGCGGGAGAACATGGCGGACAGATAGCAGCAGCTACGGAGGCTCTCTGCGAGACCCAGCTTAGAATTCAGGAATGGTGCTGAGTAAGGAATCATAAGCAAGAGGAGATATGCCCCGGTGACCCAAGAATGAACTGGGCTGAGAGAAACCAACTGCTAAAGCAATCCTGGTGCTATAACAGGAACAGATAAAGCCTCAGTGTGGAAGCTGGAGCCCGCGCCATTGGAAGCCGCGATTTGAGTTTCCCGCCGCTGCCACTGCGTCAGCATTGGCTTGGCAGGGAGAGAGACACTTGGAAGGTCTGAGAACAGGAATCGGTGAACGGAGTTGAGAGTGGGATGGGCGGGGAGCTGTGCATCAACCTCTGGTGAGGGAGGGAAAACTGGGACTCTTCCACGGTCTAGGAGACTGCAACAGAGGACATTCTGGGACCAGGCAGACTTGCGGGAACAGGGCGCTGCAGTGACTTCAGTCACCAATACCCCTCTCAAGAGGGATTGGTGAGCAGTTCCTAGCCCACGTGACGCTGCTGGCTGAGACCCAGTAGGCTAGCACACCCCAGGTCCCAGCTTCTGAAGGTAGATTGACCCGCATAGGCTGCTTGGTCTGCAACTTCCTGGTGCGCTGCGGTGGGTGGAAACACCTAGCCAGCACAATTCAATCAGACTGTGGCTGACAGGGAAGGAAGCTGGACCTCCTACATATGCTTGCATATATAAGGAACAAAGAATATGGGAAGAGGCAGCAACAAGAAAGGGTCCTTGGCCCCCAAACCTGAGAAAGAGGCAACAGCAGACACAGCACCAATAGATATAAAGCGCTATCTCAAGAGCCTCATAGACAAGTTCAGGAATGAAGTTATTAATGACCTGAAGCTAGACATAAGCAGAATAGTTAGAGAAATGCTAAGCACCACCCAAGATAAAACAGATAGTGGAATGGAAGAACAGAAAAAGAGGGGAGAATTGTTTGATGGAGAAAATAGAGAAAGCATAGAATACGTGAAGCAGGTTCAAAGAGATTACCAGGAAACTAAAAAGTCTATCGAAAACTGGCGTAACAGCTTGAAAGAAACTAAGGACAGACTATCTGAACTGGATGGCAGATTTGTAATATGGGAGCATGAAATGAAAAACTTCTTAAAAATAACAAAGAAACAAACAGCAATAATACAAAGACTAGAAGATGATAAGAGGGTCTATAACTTTTAAGAATTAAGAACATAAAAGAAGAAGTAGGGACACAAACAAATGAACTACAAAAGCTACTCACAGAAATAATCCAGGAGAATTTTCCTAATTTAGCAAAAGGTAAAGATACTCAGTTGTAGGAAGCATACAGGACCCCAGCCACCTACAACCCAAACAGAGCAACACCCAGGCAATATAATAATTAAAATTCCAGAAATCCAATACAAGAACAGAATACTAAAAGCCATCAAAGACAAGAAACAGATCACTTACAAGGGAACACCCATCAGAATTACAACAGATTTCTCGGCACAAACCATCAAATCACGAAGAGCGTGGGGGGAAATAATTCAAGCTTTGAAAGATAATAATCTCCAGCTAAGATTGATATATCCTGCACAACTATCCCTGGAAATTGATGGAAAAACAAGGTGCTTCCAGGATAAAGAGGAACTAGGGGAATATGCAACCACCAATTCAACTCTACAGAGAATACTGCAAGATATTCTAAAAAAGAAAAATAAGAATCCAGAAGTAGCGGCAGGGAGGCCACAATGAATGGAGCAGAAAACAAAATGAAGAAGACAAACTGACAACTAATGACAGAAAAAGAGCTCAACAGAAATGAGGCAGAGAAGATTGGATGATAGGAACAGCTATTTTGGAGAAAATGACGTCTTAAGAGGTAATACTGATTTAGTATCATCTTGTTTTGAAGTCTCATCAAGCTTTTATTCTTCTGTCTCCATTGGTCTACACAGGTGGTATCTTATTGGATTTTATTATATATGATAGTATAAGCAAAACCTTTTATAGAAAAGGAGATTATACAGAAACCATTGTTCATTTTCTGTTAGTTGATTCTAAATACCCTGTAATACTGTCATTCTCTTAAATGGTTTTACATTGTTTTGATATATTTGATGCTACAGTATATGAAGTTATACTCAAAGATTTCAAGGAAAGAGACAATATGGTAACTACTTTTATGTCGGGATAATCTTCTGGTGAAACACTATTTTGCTTAAATGGTTATGTTTTGATCTGCGCTGATTTGCTGTTATCCCTCTTTTATCTCAATCTCCATTTTATTATTTACTTTTTTATCCTTTTAATTAAGGGAAAAATAAATTGAAAAATAGCAGGATATATTATAGTAACCCACTTTGACTTTTCATTACCTTGATTTAAAGCCCTGTATTACTCTCACCATCTTGTTTTTGACTGATGTCCCCCTATTCTGTTTTGCTTGATAGTACCAGGTTCGAAAGTTTAGGCAACAGCTGTGAAGATAATGGGATTCATTATGACGCCCATTCTGGTTGACTATTATTTACTTTTGAAGACCTATAATGTCTCCAATGTTTTGGTTTTGTTGGTTTTGTTCTTTACTGTTTTGTTCAATTTTATTATAACTAATGATATAGGCAATTCTATTTGAGATAGGGGGAGGCATTATGGTAACCATTGTTGATCACCTAGTATTACGCTTTTACATTATCTATTACATCCACCCTTTTGATTTGCCTGACTGTTCTGTTATGTCACATTTGGTTCTACTCTCTTCCAAAAAAGTAATAAGAACTGTGGGAGCAACAAAACCCAAAATGTGTAATTGTCATTGTACAAAAGAGAGAAAAAGAAAGTGCTCTAAAAGATATAACTGCATGTATATTTAAGTGTATAAGATAGATAATGATATTACTGAGTTTTGTTGGCTCATTGAACAGAACTGTTTGCAGTCTCACTGTTGGAATGTCCACTTTGTAAGCTTTAATTTTGTAACTTGAACAATTATTTCTAAGATGACAAAATGTAATCCATTAACTAGTGATTTCCTACTGTTTATTTTTTTCTGTAAATCTGTATAACTTGTACCCTTTCTCTGCTTTTTTTTTTTTTTCTTTTTCTCCTTAAATAAAATTTTAAAAAAAAGAAAGTGTTGCTCTAGTCTTTCATGTTGTTTAGATAAGTGTGCTGTTGCAGCCTTGGCCGCCGTCCCACCTTCCTTTTTCCTGGATTTTAGCCGTTTGATTTTGATGTGCCTCGGTGAAGTATTTTTGTGTTTCTCTTGCTGGCAGTCTAGTTGAACTTCTTGTATCTATAGCGTTACAGTTTTCATCAAATTTGAAATTTCAGCCATAAGGTCTTAAGATTTTTTTATTTGGTTTATTTTTTGTATTTTGGTTTGTTTTTTCTCTCCTCTTTACGAAACTCCAATTCTCTGTGGATCAGGCTGTTGGATGCTGTCCCACTGCTCACTGATGCCCTGGTTCCCTTCTCCAGTTCTTTTTTTCCCCTCTGTTTTATTTTGGATAATTTCTGGAACATGGTTTACATAGAAACAGTTTAATTCTGAACTTGAGGGGGGAACTCTGACTTCAGTGCTCAGTTGAGCAGCTCTCTTCCCTCCAGTCCTCTGTGTAGAGACTCTCACCTCCTGGCCTCCCTCAGCTAAGGGAATGTCGCACACCTCCCTGAGGTCCTCTTCCCTGTGCTGCAGCTCGGAAATGGGTTCCAGAAATAAGGGAGGACGGCAGGCTGTGTCCAGTGTCTGAATACTGTTTTGAGAAAGAGACACTTTTACCTTTTAAGAACTTGACTTTCATACATTTTTGCATACTTTTATGTCTTTCGTATGTTGTTTCCAGTATTTTAGTTATCACTCAGATATGGAATTCCTCCTTAATAATTGTTTATTGGATGAACATATAGATAAGAAGTCATACTGTAATAATTATTTCTCATTCCCCTCTTTTTCTGCTACTAAAATAAAATAAGAAAAAGATGAGGGAGTTATGTGTGAAATACAGTACTTTTGCCGTTTTCCACATACAGAAATTGGCTGGTAAAATTAGTCAGTTTACCTATTGTTTGGCTGGAGTCATGAAGAAAGAAACTGACATAAGCAGATTGGGGGGAGGGGGAATTAGGTTGTAGGGAAGGAAAGGTGAATAGATTCAGCACAAAAGGTCGCTCCTTTTCAGGTTGTGTGTTGCAGCTCTGTCTGTCAATAATTTCTGTGACAACCGAGAGGCTCTGTATGGTGTATTTGATGGAGACCGCAATGTGGAGGTACCTTACCTTCTCCAGTGTACCATGAGTGACATTTTGGCTGAAGAGCTGCAGAAAACTAAAAATGAAGAAGAATACATGGTCAATACATTCATCGTTATGCAAAGGTAAAACTTTTAAGTCGCTGTTATATGCTTTCTTGCTTTTTTTTTTTTTTAACTGTTTTCCCACTGGTTAGAAAATTGAGTGCTTAACATGCAAGAGAGAGAGAGGCATTATCACTGATTTTAACATATTATAAGCCTTTGTGAAATTGAGGTAGGTAGTAAAATTTTAGGCTGGCAGTTGAAACATTGTTTGCATGCTTTTCCTCCTGTGTTGAATGATCAAAACTCCATTACTAGCACAATACTAGGCCAATGCCTGGCATTTCTACCTGCAGCAGAGCTGTAGGTCACTGCAAAAATTGCAGAATATTCTTTGAACTGTTAGACTGAATTTTACAAGGACTTTCTCAAAGAAGTGTCCATTCTTTGGTTATCTTCAGAGCTTTATAGGTTGTAAAGGAATTGCCTGTCTATAAATATCACACTTTAGACCTTTGCTCTTACGGGACCCAGGATGACAAGAGTTCCAAAGGTCATGGCAAAAGTGATGATCTTTTCTTTCTCTGCTTCTCCTCTTTCTGTATAATCTGCTAGAGGAAACAGCATCTTTGAACCAGAGTAGACAGTGTCTGCTGTGCAATGCTGTTCTGAGTCAAAATGGTTACTCTTGGGGAGCCCTCTGCAGGGGGTTCCTTGCTATCTGATTCAGCATTGCGTGTCAGATTCCTAGTAGGCACAATTAGAGGTTGAACAATAGTAAGAGCTAATATTTAGCAAGCCATTCATATATACATAGTCATTGTTCTAAAGGCTATATGTGTTGTGAATTTTTCCCAGTGAGATAGGTTCTATTCTTATTTTATTGATAAGATGCAAAAAGTTGAAACAGAGTCCCTGAAGAGCACTCAGGATGAGTTGATGTGCAGTAAGGCTCTAGAGGATGTTCTGATGCCAGCTACAGCAACTTTCCTATTTTTATTACTACCTTGTCCTAGGGAACACACACACGCACACACACCCTTCACACACAATACACCAGAATTAAAGATAAAAATTAAGGATAATAATTAAAAATTAATTCCTTCATACTTAGATTACTGGCTCTTTCACAAATCTTTGTGTCTTTGCAGAAGAAAACAAAGCTGCCTTGAAAGGGTCTAAGGCCAAACAGATCTGATTATAGGTGTCTGGAAGTTGGAACATAGAGTCCTGAGTTACAGACCCATCTCTAGGGTGTTTTGTGTGCATCTTATTTTCTCTTTTTGTTAACACGATGCAGGATTGTGGTGTGCTTTTTTGGTCTTTTAGGGGAACTGTATGATCCTTGTGCCTGATGTTCTAATGTTTGTGGGTAGGCAAACCAGGTTTCCACTGCTGCTGTAACCAGTTGTTTAGCAGGCACATAAAAGATCCTAACATCCTCCTGATTTCTAAGAATTGGCCCCCTTGAATTAGGGAGCTGTTTTTCTTAACCCTGTTACTTGCATACCACTGAGAATCAGTGGGGTTCTTGGAGGAATTACCACTTGTGGAGCTTGTGATTAGAGTTCTGTGCTCCTTTTGATTGTCAGGATACTCAGGTGCTTCATGTATTTAATAAATCTGTGGATTAGTGGTTATGAATAAAAGAATGAGTCATAATCACTTGGTGCTTGATCCCCACAATGTCCTTTCTGCATGTTTTCTAGAATAAGTGGTACTGGTTCAGAAAGTCTTGGTATAGGGCAAGAACAGGAGCAGTTCAGTACTTCACCCATAGAGCGAGCATCCATCAGGAGGGTTAATTCTGAAGGATGTGTGTGCATAGGTGTCATGTATTCCTACATGCCCTGATTTAAACAATTCCTTCAGTTTTCCTTTAGTGAGAACAGAGAGGATTTAGAAAAGTAGGAAAAATGTATGATTTCTTGCTGTCCCTGGAGTGTGCTGCCAGCGCTGTGTATTGATTTGAAGTAGCAGGTGAACACAGCAGTCCAGGGGCTCTTTCATTCCAGACCAGCTGTTGTGCTTTGAGTGGAAAAAGGACACATTCCCCAGCTGTCAGCAGTACCTCTGTATTGGATGTGTGTGATGTCAGGTTCCAGTGGTTCTGTTCCTGAGAAGAGTGCTGCGTGCTTCGGTGGAAGGGCTGTCAGTAGTGACTTTGTGTCTGTCTGGCTCCTAGCCCTAGCCAGTGGTAGTCTTCTTGCTGAATTAACAAAACAGAAGTTTTTACTCCCTTTCTTGGATTCTAGAAAACTTGGAACTGCTGGACAGAAACTTGGTGGTGCTGCTGTCCTTTGTCATATCAAGCATGACCCTGTGGACCCTGGAGGATCCTTCACCTTGACCTCTGCTAATGTGGGCAAGTGCCAGACAGTTCTCTGTCGAAATGGGAAGCCACTGCCTCTGTCCAGATCATATGTCATGAGCTGTGAAGAAGAGCTGAAGAGAATTAAGCAGCACAAAGCCATTATCACTGAGGTGAGGGGAGGGGAGTTTTCCTCAAGATGGTGGGGAGGGCAGCTGGGTCAGTGGTGTGAACCCATGGCACGTATGCCGTGGCAGGTAGTTTGTGTCATCGAAAGCTTTAAAGGTTCACCATCGTGGAGCTAGGTCATGGCAAAACCAGCTAGGCAGCATTTGCCTTCACAGGACATTTTTGAAGTTGGTTTAAACTTTGAACCTCAAATCCATAGTGTCATAAGATAAATTCATTGTATATTTTCAGGAATATTATAACACATGAAATGATAAAACATTTATTGACTGCCAGGATGCAGAGCGCTTCATGGGCAGTGCCGTTTGATCTTCACAGCAGTCTTCGGAGGCGTGTTTGGGTGGTTGAGAGCTCTCCTGCTGAGCCCACACTGCTGGTTTTCATATCTCAGCTTTGCCACTTGATAGCTCTCTAAGCCTAGGTTTTGTCATGTGTAAAGTGTCATCTCTTCTGTCTTACAAGGCTAGTGTGACTTGTGAGCTCTGAATGTATGAACTAGTTGTCATTTTGGTTTGTGCCTCTTGTCCAGTTTGAATGATGGAGCCTTGCTCCATCTGAGTCATGCAGTTCTCACCTGAGGCTGGTTTTCGCTGTGGTGGGTAGGACATTTTGAAACACTTTTGGTTGTCACTACTGGATGGAAAGTATTGCAGTAGTCAGAGGCACGCAGACAGAGGCTAGGATTGCTGTTAAGCATCTGTGCACAGGACAGACCCAGTGACAAAGACTTAGGCCCCAAAGTGGCAGCAGTGCTCCTTTTGAGAATCCTCAAGGAAATCTGTTCATTACCAGTGGAACTTCCAAAACGGACTCTGGCGGTTCTTCTGCTGCCTTCACTAATTTGCCATACAGAGTCACCTACCATTTGCCTAGAAATTGACTTGGGAGTACAGCAGTGATGCCCACAGATACACATCTGCCCACACAGGAGTATCCAGTCTTATGTTGTTAATAAAACTCACAGAACCTTGTGAGCTGTGAGGCAGATTAGTAGTGTAAAAGTTTGTAACCCAGTAGAGAAAAAGATGGATTCCAGATAGGAAGGGCCATGGAGAAATACGGAAAGATTCAAGTTACAATGTGGAATCCTGTGGAAATTAATCTGTGTTGATTTAGTGATGTGTCTGGAGCAGAGTATTAAAATTGATTGGAAACACTGTTAGGGAGCAATGTCAAACATTGTATGGGATGTATTGAATTTAATGCTCAATGTTATTCCAAATGTGATTCAAAGGTTAAGGATTTCTGCTGCATGAATGATGGTTGTAGGTCAGCTTTTGTTTCTTGGTTTCTGTGCCTCTCTTTCTTAGTGTTTATCTACATCACAGAATGTTCAGTAGGGAGGGTTTTGTATGTTGCTTTTGTCTTTTTGTTTGTTTTGTCTTTTTGTACTCCTCTGTTGTCAGGCATGCCTTTGAAATACACAAAACTTGATTCTGATGGAGAGAAATTTAAAGAGTAAGCAGAACAGCACAAATAAGTTTCTGCAGAATTCTGTAGTTGGAAGATAAATTAACTCACTAGAATCAAAAGAGTTAGAAATTGTGCTTGAAGCTGTTTTACTACTTTTATTTCTAAGATCGCCACCTGCTAATGAGGGAGGCATGGCAAAGTTGTGTGAGGAGCTTGAGAAAGCACCCCAAAACAAGTAAACACTTTGCAAAGCCCAAACAACGGCAGGTGGTAGGTTTGGGGAAGAGAACACTCTCAGAAGAAACGCTTGCTCGTCCTAGACACACACTAAAACTGCATTTATCGTCCTAGAAGCTTTTCTGGAAAGAGGTGTTAAAACTAGGGCCATGAGGAGGTTTGTCAAAATGGGACCTGTGCCTGAGAACCTCAGAGTTAAAAGGGAACCTCGTTTAAAGAGATGTGTGGAGTTACATAAAAATATGCAAAGGTCTTTTTGTTGGAGTTAAATAAAAAAATGTAAAGTTCTTTTTGTTGGCAACTGGTCTCAAACTTTGGCTGCTGATTTAAATGCATATGCCCAGCTGAATTAAATCCTGGAGACTTAGCCATCCCCATGTGCCAACAGGAAGTCAAGTTCAAGGAAATCTTGAGAATTGGTACTTCTCCGTTAGCATCTGCCTCTCCAAACATAAACTTTCTGATCTAGCTAGTCACACAAGATCTTTGCCACCAGTTAAGTATACTCAGTGTCTGCCCCTTCTTCTGGCCTTCAGATACCCTTGACACTGGTGCTCAGTGTCCCAGGGGAAAGGAACATACAGTTGAAGCGTCTGTGCCATGTGTATGTTTCTTAGGCTGCCTTATCTCAAAGGCTCTTCTGGTTTTGGAGGAACTAATAACCTATGACACCCTGCCATGGACATAACAGGTTTTGTCACCTAGCTTGATCATAACCCTAATGAAGGAAATAGCTGAAATATCTTCTTTTTGTCCCTGATGCCCCTTTCCTACTGGGCCTGTGCATTAACTACTCCCTGGAGGGTGAATTGGCCACACAGCACTTTCCCTGTGCCCTGCATTCGGGTGGCCTGAGGAAGCAGCACAATTGTCGGACATTTTCCGTATTCACTGCCTCTTTGCAAACCCTTTTTCTTCCAGGATGGCAAGGTGAATGGAGTGACTGAGTCCACACGCATCCTGGGCTACACCTTCCTCCACCCCAGTGTGGTGCCTCGCCCCCACGTGCAGTCTGTGCTCCTCACCCCCCAGGACGAGTTCTTCATTCTGGGCAGCAAGGGGCTGTGGGACAGCTTGTCCATTGAGGAGGCTGTGGAGGCCGTGCGCAACGTGCCCGATGCCTTAGCTGCTGCCAAGAAGCTGTGCACCCTGGCCCAGAGCTATGGCTGCCACGACAGTGTCAGTGCCGTGGTAGTGCAGCTCAGTGTCACCGAGGACAGCTTCTGTTGCTGTGAGCTTGCTACCACTGGGAGTGTCCCACCACCCAGCCCAGGCATCTTCCCTCCCTCTGTCAACATGGTAATCAAGGATCGGCCCTCAGACGGGCTGGGTGTGCCGTCCTCCAGCAGTGGCATGGCCTCTGAGATCAGCAGTGAGCTCTCCACTTCAGAGATGAGCAGTGAGGTGGGGTCAACAGCCTCTGATGAGCCCCCATCCGGAGCCCTAAATGACAGCAGCTCTGCCTATCCTAGCGAGCAGCGCTGCATGCTGCACCCCGTCTGTCTGTCCAACTCCTTCCAGCGCCAGCTGTCCAGTGCCACTTTCTCCAGCGCCTTCTCGGACAATGGCCTTGACAGTGATGATGAAGAACCAATTGAGGGCGTCTTCACCAATGGCAGTCGGGTGGAGGTAGAGGTGGACATCCACTGTAGTCGGGCTAAGGAGGAGAAGCAGCAGCACCAGCTACAGATGCCAGCTGAGGCCAGCGATGAAGGCATTGTCATCAGCGCCAATGAGGATGAGCCGGGTCTTCCCAGGAAGGCAGACTTTTCTTCTGTAGGAACCATTGGGCGCCGCAGGGCTAACGGCTCTGTAGCGCCCCAGGAAAGGAGCCACAATGTGATTGAGGTTGCTACAGATGCCCCTCTTCGGAAGCCTGGAGGCTATTTTGCTGCCCCAGCTCAGCCAGATCCTGACGATCAGTTTATCATTCCCCCAGAGCTGGAAGAGGAAGTCAAAGAGATCATGAAACACCACCAGGAGCAGCAGCAGCAGCCACCACCACTACCGCAGCAGCCCCTGCAGCGGCAGTTTCCGACGGACCAGCTGCCGGACTGTTATGACACACCACTATGACCCAGTCTGAGTGCTGTTCTAAAAAATAAACTAACCCAGAAAGACTGAGTTGCAAGAGTCTCCCAGGCTCGCATTAAACCAGGGGTTTTACTCCGTGTCCTCCCAGACACTGTCCCCAGCCTATCTTTTCAGCTAATCTATAGGTTCCCTTTCTGTTGGTTATTTTTAAAATAATTACCACTTTTCTTCTAGTGATCCGTTACCAATATGATTTAAATTTGTTAACTTCTTTCCTTAACATATCAGATGTGTAAAGACAAAGAACAAAAGGTTTAATATATTACAGAGAAACGGTTATGATAATGTAATATTTTTTAAAAAAGGTTTTTGTTTTGTTTGTTGGAAGGCAGGGCAGGTTGCCATTGCTAAATGATATAATAATATTGTAATTCTGTATTTCTTGGAGGGGAAGCCTTTTTTGTCTTGAAAATGATAGACATTTGTAGAATATGGAGACTAACTCCTAGGAGTTGCTTTACTCTGTCAGGTGACTTAAGTCACTGGGATTCACTAATTTTCTCTGAGAGAACAGTTGATTGAGAAATTTCTATTGTAAATAGCTCAGTGTTATATAGTGATGCTTAAAATGTTTTGTAGTCTTGGCATATAAGGACATAGCCTAAATAACTGACTTTTCTTCTTCCCTTCTGATGAGCCTTCCCTGCCAGTCCCCACCCTAGCTCACCTTCCTAGTGGAGGCCAGGCAGCCCACACACTGCTGTTCAGATGAGGCGGCTCTGAGACCACTGGATGAGAGCCTGCACTAAGGGGCCTGGAATCTGTTTCTTTCCTCTCCTGGGCTCTTGACTTTTGCAGACACTTTTTAATTGTGTTCCTTACTGCTGCCACAATCAGCATGACTGTATAGTGTTCCATTAGACCATTTACATACCCAGAGTTATATTAAAGCAGAATGCACAAATGGACATGTCATAATTTTTGTTATAATAAATATGAAATTTACAAGTATTGGGCCCATCTGCTTTTGTCTGGTGTGTCTCGAAGATGATCACACCAGCCTGAGTGTGAAATAAATGGATGAGATGTTGGGGTTATGAAATATGACTGACTTAGGGGCTGGGGATTTAGCTCAGCGGCATAAGCATCTGCCTTGCAAGCAGGCAGTCATGAGTTCGATCCCTGGTACCGGTAAAAAGGAAAAAGCCAAAAAAAAAAAAAAAAAAGAAGAAGTATGACTGACTTGGATTTTCTTTAAGGGAATATACCCAGCAAGATAGACTACGGTGGATGAGGTAGTGAAATTGACTTTATGGCTAACAGAGTAACTAGCTGGTCTTGTACCCTTCTATTTCTTACTGCTATGAGATAAAGAAGACGTGAACAGGGGAATTGGTGAGGTTGCATACAGGAGATCCTTGGAAAGTGTCTTTTCCCACAACGCCAAGTTTTCATTTCTCCCAGGATCCCCAGAACACACGAGCAGGTCAGTGGAAACAGTGACAGTCAAGAGTTGGTTTGCTCACTCTATAGGCAGAAATAATGTCAGCACAGCAGTGCACTAAGGAGTTCTATATTCCATGATGACCCCCGAAGCACGTTTACAAACTGCCAGCCTTCCCTCAACCCACTCCACGCCTCCCCCTGCACTGTGAACTGTGTATGGGAGAGACAGACCCATTTCCCTTCATGTTTGTCCAGAGCAGTACCCAGCTAGTTCCCAGTGATGAGACAGTTAATATTTCTTAACCTAGAGACTGGTGGGGGACTCTGTCTCTCACTAAATGGCCCATGGGCTGGCTGTGTCTCGGTAATAACTTCATTGCTGTGTCGGGTTGCTTGTGTACATGCCCTTTGAAAGCCCAAATCAACTCACTGTAGGCCAGTGACCTAGGAAGCTGGGTAGGCGAAATGCTACCTGAGACTGGGAGCTGGGCCATTTCTCGTCCCCAGCGTCACTGTCCAGCTCCACCTTCCTCAGGATTTGACCTACTGCATGTGATTTAGAGTGGACATGTAGGGCTCCCACTAGAGCCTTCCTCCCTGTGCCCGTGTGGGCTGACTCTGACTTCCTCAACTCTTGAATCCCCACTAGGCAGGGTTCAGCCATCTGCACTTTTTTTTTTGGTCCTGGGAATCAAACTCAGAACCTTGCAGTTGACAGGTAGGTGCTTGTGCCACTGAGCTATATCCCTGGCCCTGTCTCTGCATTTCTTGAAATGTGATACACCTCAGCCTCCTGAGTAGCTGGAATTACAGGCATGCATCACCACACCCAGATTTACCTGTAACCTTTGTAAAGTGGTTCTTCCTCTACTCTTCACTTCTGGAGAACCTGCTGAGCGGAACCAGCAAGTACTTCAGGATTTCATGGCAGGTCCCAGAGCCACTGCTGTGCCAACAGCAGCTATCAGGACCAGCAAGATCTGTGGAGACTTCCTCCACTTCTATATGGTTAATGGAGGAGCAAGGGGCAGGAGATCTGGAGTTGATATTTTCATGAGTCCCCATGGTGTCAGCACTTGGCTGTGGGTCCATTGCATCATCAAACACATTGTGCATATACTACACAGGGTACGATGGAGATAGGTAGGTGAGACTTTGTCTTTGGGGAACTGGACCAAGAAAAGAAGAGTTGTTCTAGTGAGTGACAGAAGAAAGGTATAGATACACTGCTAGGTCTCTGTTCTCTCTCAGAGAAACCTCTCCAATTACCTTCTGAGAAGATTTTAAAATTCTATTCAATACGCATCTAAGAGTATGTGTAGAGCTGTTTATAAAACCATGAGCCTACTTCAAGGAAAAGGCCTGGGGACACAACTAGTGCAGTGACCCTGAGTTCAATCTCCATGACTGGGAAAGCACACACAATGGAGTGGGAATATTAAAGTGCTTAATATTTGAAGATCTCTGAAACTTTGGTATCTCAAGATTTTAGGGATGAAGATTTCTCTTCTTGCTATATTCCCTGCTTCCTGGACTTACTGAGAAAGGATTTAAGGGAAGAAGTTAAAGAAGCTTAGGCTGCTCTAGTGAGACTTACAAACTTGCAAAGTATAAACGCCTATTTGAGGATTCTAGAAGCTGTCATGAGGGATCAGCCACGTGCTGCCCTATGCATGCCCTCAAGCCTCCTGCTTTTGCCTGCTGCTCAGAATAACAATGACTGGTGAACGCCAAGGACCTCTAGCCAGAAACTCAACCTGCCTGATCTGGTTTCTCTTGATTACTTTTGTCACTATGCCACCTACTGGTAGATTTAGCCTCCGGCTGGAACTGGATACAACCGCTCAATCCTTCCACTCTTCCCCGAGGATCCAGGGTTTATATTTCTTACTATTCTTGTAGACTCATGATAGAAAGCAATCCAGACCACTGTTAAGTGTGGCAGAGGTGCTGTGTGGAAGGCTTCAGCTTTGTACAGTGTGTAATTGACTATATCTGATTCCCATAAGAAATTTGCTTGCAGAAAAGTACTAATAGATACAACCAGAATCATAAAAAAGTCTATTTCCAATAGCCATCTAGTTCCCAGAGCCCAGTTCCCCTTTCTCCATGTTTGAAAAACAGTAAAGCAACATTATATGCTTTGAGATTTACAGAATAATGTCTTATCACCGCTGGCACTGCCCAGCAGAAAGAGTAATTCTCATTCAGTTACGTTGCCTCCCCAGGAAACACTCATCAAAGGCCTTTTAAATCTATTCCCAACACGTATCAAAGAATACTTTTCCAGCAATCAAACCAGGTAATGTATTCGGTAATTTGTAAGTAAGCAAGCCTCATTTGCATGTAAGAATTGTGGTCATAAATGAAGAAGTGAGAATGGCTGGAAAGTATTTGGGAGTATGACAAAAGTACTTTTTTAAAAAGAAAACTCAGCTATTAGAGGAAAAGATAAGGTAATGGTAGAAAGTATGCTTTTCTCATTAGTTATTGAATTTCATTTTTTCTTCTTTCAGTTCATCTCCCAAACTCACATTTTGTACAAGGAATCGAGGCAAACTTTGCTTTCATTATTGTTATTGACTTGTTACAGTTTGATTCTTACTGTTATATATTTGAAAGTATGGCTCTAAGGTAGTTCTATCAAATCCTCACCCCACCCAGTACCAAAACTGGAACAAAGTTCAGATTTAGTCTGGCAAGCCTATTGCTCTAGTCAGTCAGTGAAACTGAACCTAGAAGGCAAAGCTCTAGGCTGGTGACAGAAGGTAGCTTCCACACCCCATCCGCCCCCGATCCATTGTGTCACACACTCAGGAAGCGCCTGTGCAGACCTGCAGTGCCTGGCGTGGGTGTGAGGGTGCCTGTGCTGACCCTGAGGGTCCGAGCCACCATAAAGATGCATCCAGACCTGCTCAAAGTATAAGGAACAGCATGCAGCCTCTGCAGAGTCCTCCTTCGGGAGGGAAGGGGCACGTGGTCCCCGAGTCTGCATTGCATGTGAAGGGCTGGACAGTAAAGGGCAGCCACACTTCCCCTGCCCTGAATTTACCCGTAAACAAGCGCTGCAGTTACTGGGCTTCGGTTCATTAGTTGCCTCATTTTATTCTAAATCAGAACACAGTGTTCTACCTTGTTAAATGGGGGAAGCAACAGAACACTTGGAGAATTTTCTTCCATCTGTTTATGACTACAATTACTCTTGTTGTCATTTCTCTCATTTTCTCAGGACATCCAAGTAATGCTGGCTTCACTCTGGAACCACTTTGTATTCATTACTTCCTTGGTTTTATTCCAATAAACTTGTTCTTGCTCCTAATGACCACTCCTACCTATTGAAAGGAAGTCAAAATGGTACCTGAGATGACTTCCTCAAATGTTATGCTTTCTCCAGATCTTGATTTTCCTAAACAAAACCACTCCCCAGTTAACATTTGGAGGTTTTTAAACCAATTTCCTCTTCATAGAAATTCCCCTGTAAGCCAGGAATAAGGCGAGCACACAAAGTTAACATCTTTTATTTTTCTTATGATCTATAATTCTTTTAACAAACTTTTTCCAAGGGCTGCTCACAAGGTCAAAAGTGGCTCAATTAAATGGATGCTGCTTCCTGCATACCTCAGCATAGGAAACCACACCTCCTCAGGAACGGCAGTCTGCTAAAGCTGTCACCTCTTACAGGGCCCTCTCCCGTAAAAAACAACTCTTTAAGCATGTATTGCGGTGTTGTCTGCATGTAGTGTATGCATAATTTTCATGTAACTTTTATGAGTCCTCTAGTTTTTAAATTTAATTTCTGTCATTATATTCCCTGGGTTACAGCATGTTGAATTTAACATACTGGCTCCTCCTCTATTCCTGTGTGCTGGGAAAGAAAGGGCAACAGTGGGGACAGTGAAGCCTGCCAGTCTGACCAGAGGACTGTCTTTCCCTCCATTTCATCCTACGCTGAGCAGCGCAGGGCAGACACAATCGCAGGAGTCCACCTAATCCTGCTTCCAGGCAGAATCCAGACTGTATTGTTCTGCTGCGTGACTTCTGTTTCCTCCTGCCAGGACTCCAGCAGTAGAGCCTCTGACCCCCTTCACAAACCACCTAGCACCCGTGTGGACTGGCTGGGCACCCACTCTGTCCTAAGACCCCACAGCAGGTGCAGGGTGAGCAGAATGAATACTAAAGCCTGGTTTTGAAGAGAGAGAATATAACCAAAGAGTACAATGACATGACAATGTGGGGCAGAAGAAGGGCGAGTCACACCCAGTCTGAGATGGCACATAGGCACCTACAGTTTCAGACTGTCCCAGAGTCGCAGCCCTGCATTGTGACCATGGAGGACGGGGTGCTGTGTGAGGTCCCTGCTGTGCTTAGAGGTTCTTCACTCTCTCCCGCTAGGAATCCGTGACATCCCACCCACAGTGACAGAGGAAGGACACACCCCTCCCACCAGCCTCCCCTCTCACTCTGTGTGTGCAGAGCCCATTAAGCTTGGCTGGCACCGGGCATCAGAAGCTCCACCAAAGGCACCCAGGACCAAGGATGAGGAGGAGATAGAAAGGAAGCTATTC